GAAGAGCAAGAACGTAAGCGCTCCGGGAACAAGCCAAGCTTGAGAAAGAAGCGGCCCTCAAGACCGAACGCGAGAGCAAGGAGCGCGCTAAACGCGAAGAACAAGCTGCCCAAGCTGCCCAAGCGGCCACTGCTCAAGCTGCCAAACGAATATCCCAGTCAGGGCCAACATACCTTCCTCCAGGCCTCCAACCTCAGCATGGACAATCAGCGCTACAGTCGCCACATTTCCAGGTTGCTACACCCGTTGTACCGAAAGCCCCAACTCCAGTTCGTCCTCGTCAAACATCCCAACATGGGTCCCATGCTTCTTCTCCGAGATCCCAGCCCGCCGGAACAGATACATCACATACCTCTGTTTCCCCTGGAAATGCTGGCGTGTCGCAATCATCAGGGTCCTCCAGCTCGGTTTCTGCAAAGTCCTTTGGTCCGACACCAATGCTCCATCATCCTCAGCCTTCTGCCCCTATGTCACCCTTGGGCGGAGCCGCCCGCAGCCCTCATTCTTTGGGTTTCAGCTCGATGCCTGCATTGAATGGAGTACCCTCCAGCCTCCCTGGGTTACCGGGAATGACATCACGTATTCCATTGGGCCACGAAATGCCGATGTATCCCAGCCAACAGGGACCTCTGGGAGGACAATTCAGAGGTTTCCCTTCCCCAGATGGTATACCAATGGCTTCAGGGTTAAATGGTACCCGCCCGATTATCCCAAGCCGAGGCTTCCCTCTAGACACCGGTCATGGTTTGCCATTTCATTCGCAGCTGTTAGGACCCAGTCCAATCTCTTCGTCTTCGTCACAGCAACCTCAGATACCTCGGGAAACAAGACGTGGGCAAACACACTCGAGACAAGCGTCATCATCTTTTGAAAGAAGTTCCCTAGAAAACAAACCCCAGAATTTACCAATATCCCGACCAGCCCCTATTCAGCGCCCCGCTAGTACTACCCCTCATAATGCCTCACGAAACGAAACGAAACCCGAACTTTCAGATATTGACGACTTGAGTGCCCAGCTCGGCAGCAGTGCTCTTCTCGACGAGACTGATGTGCCTTTCACTTCTAGTCTAACTCAACCTATCCCCACAAGCTCTCTTCCCGGTGCTCCTGGTGCTGGGAGAATGGTATTTGGAACGTCGCCGTTATTTACCGAATCCCTCGGTTGTAAGTAGATATGCTGCAACCATTCTAATTTACATCCCTGCTACAAAAACTAACAAATATTTCAGCGAAGCATCCAAATTTTCCTCTTGGTCCTGCGGGCTCTGGTAATACTTGGGGTTCACAAACGCCATTCGGAGGCCCCGGATTCCCTGCGGCAACGTCTTGGGGTTCAGTACCGAGCTCAGGTTCGTTTATCTCACCAAGAGATAGTTAATATAACTTACTGACTCGTTGATATAGGATCTGGGTGGTCCAACAACGCGTTCGGCATCATAGGGGGAACACGTCCTCACACTTCGCGACCTGTTACGGTTCGTTTGCTTGTAGCACAGGCTTGTAAGCAACTAAACGCAACCAGCCCAACAAAGGGAAATTCAGGCTTCCATAGCGTGAACCATGTATTGCGACAAGTTGAACAACTAAACCCACCAAATGAGCCTCAAATCACACTTGATGAGCTGTTGGATATCTGTGACACGGAAGGTAACCCACAAAATGGTGGTGGCTCTTTCGTAATCAAGAACGAGACGCGCGGCACCTTCGTTAAATTTGAGCCGGATAGCAATAGCATGTCGTCAGGTCCCAGAGGAAGTGTCGCACCGGGGGATATCGGCAGTCCAGCTGCTAGCATTAGCACTCCAGCATTTGGTGGCGTCGGGGCGACTGGCGGTTCGAGACAATTCCCAGCGCCTCCGAATATTTCTCCACCTACCGGATTCTAAAACTAGGTTCCATTCAATTGAGTATCCCCCTCATAGTGTGGGATTCTGTACAACCAGCGTGGAAAACAGATAAATGCCTTCACTGCAATTGAGAATTGTTTGCTCGTCACTGTTCTCTATTCCCCTCAAGCTAGTTGTTCTTCACTTTTATTCTCCTTCCACAGGATATATGGGTTTAGCGTTTTTACCCTTGCGCTTCGGTTAGCCCTATCCTCAACGCCGAAGCCAACATCGTCCTTCCTCTTCTTTCCCTCTACCATTATTATCAATCTCCGGCCACTAAAGTCCTTTCCCCTTCATTTTTCCTTCTATTCTGCCATTCCGTTCTTCTCTTTTGTCTCAGTTTAATGATCTGGTATTTTCCCTCTTATGTTATTCCTTCGTCCCTTTTTTTTATGTTGTTTCCTACGTGTCGCTGCCTGAGGTACAGCTTTCATGTTATGTACTACACAACCAGGAAGGCACATTATTCAGGCAGGCAGACGGGCAGGTTATGAATAGCAGCAGGCAAGCTGTTAGGGTAGCAATTGTTTTTTTTTTTTTTTTTTTTTTTTTTTTTGTTGTTGTTGATTTTGATATTGATTGTTTGATTACTCAACCGTCGCTTTTATGAAACCTGCAATAGGCTATGGGCGTTGACAGAATTGCAATCCATTTGCTTTATCTACCTCTTTTTTTATCTCAAACTAACTCCTGCATGCGTCCGTCCTACGTGATAAATAAATATTTGCTGGGAGAGAATTGAACCCCGATCATCCCATGAGATGCGAATATCGACGTAGAGGAGTTGAAATAGCTGGAAGGACACGGTCACATGTCAGGAGGTATGGACCTCGGGAACCTTTGTTCTCAAAGCGGAATCAAGAGCCGCAAGCAAACCCTATAAAACCTCACCTTCCCCCGCCCACTTCCTCCACCTCTGTTTTTCAGTTTTTCCCTTTTATAGTTCTTCTATCTTCCCTCTCCAGTCATGCACGGGAGTAGGGGAAATCACTGGCAGGCAGGGCTCAGGCTCGTAACTTAGGCTGGTGAAAGGATAGGGAGCTTGATTGTATGAAACTTGCGGGAGATCCCGCCTCTAGTCTGATTGGAGCGGGGAGCGGCTAGGAAGGCGGTAACTAGCATTTTATTTTGTATGTGTGTGATGCATCCACCTAGGCAACCATCACACAGTAACTGATTAGCGTTTGTGGAACGAATTGTGGAAATACAGGATTTTGCGGGGAGCAGCAGGAGAATTATGGCCGTTCGACGACTCCGGTACCGTGATATGTGCATGTACCGTGCATCTGCTATCCATACACACGGCCTCTTTCTTGAGGGAGGGCACGTCTGGCGGCGGGAGTGGAGCGGGGGGAGGGATATCTTCGAGAGACTGGGTTTGCGATAAACAGTCACTTAACGCGTGAGGATGGCGCCAGGGTGGTTCACCCTGTCGGTGCCATCAGTCCTGCATGCACATTTGAAAGTTGCCTTGCTTTTACGACGGTGACCTTGAATATCCCCTGTTTCCAAATTTGGATGGATCATCAGTAATGAGATTCACGGTTGCAATCCCTTCCGCGCCCCTGAAGAATCCTTGCGTATATATCGATTGATGCCTCCCCGGTATCATTTTGATAGGTTTACCGGGGCTGTTATATTATACTTAACCTAAGCCCCCAACACTAAAAGATTTGATGATTACCATGGGTTGCTAGCTTGGAAAGTAGATATTGATCATTAAACCTACAGAATTTGTATGTAACAATCAAACGGTAACAGGGCAGCAAATGATGCGGCGTTCAGAACAAAAACCAAGGAGCATGAGAAACGAAAGGGACGATACTAAAGCTCATACTCTCTCCAACACTACTGAAAAGGAATAAATAACAATTGGAAAAGGAAAATAATCTGGTATAGCACACACGATCGAGGTTGAACCAGGTGGTCCAAAAAAAAAAAAAGGCAAAAGGGAGCGAGGATAGAAGGGGCGGTTTGGCGCCAGATACATATTTCATCTATTTCATGTACAGTACAAAATAAATAAAGCAGCACCCTGCAAACAGAGTGGAGCAAAAGAAATTTTGAAGAAACCAGAATCCACAAAACAAAACAAAACAAAGTTAAAGTAATGGTAATAGTGTAGTTGATAGTAATAGTATTGATTAATAATAATTTATATCCTCGGTTCCGTCACAATGCCCTCATACTCTCGCGACTTGATATAATCCAGTGTGCGCTGGAAATGGCGCTTCGGATTATCAAGACTGGAGTTTGGCACGCCGTCATTCTGGCTGGTTTCGAGGTTCGAGTGGATGAGTTCGATGAGCCCGTTCAGGTACTTGGTAGTCACGGTCTCATTCCCTTGATCGAAATAATATACGTAGCGGTTCAGAATTTCGACAAAAAGCTCCACGGATACTGCTGTGTCCATGCATGCGTCCGCGACTCGTAGAGCTCTTTGGAGACATTCTAGAACGCGTTTGCCATCACGATATAGCTTTATGAATAGTACATCATGTTAGTCAACAGGCACAAACAGTTGAGCAAAACGGAGTAACAAAAGTCATCATTGGATTGAAATCTTACATCTTTCGCATCTTCGTCCTCTTTCTGCTGGTTCTCAACGGCCCACCAAAGATGACTTGCCAGGTACACCGCACGGCATTGATCTGGCTTCTTCAATAGTTTGCTGCCGTGCAGCGCAGCCTTGGTGATGAGAGTATCATAATTTTCTTTTCCAAATCCCCTCGTTCCGTGCAGTGCGCTCGCGAGAATGCATACAGCTTGGAACTGTGCTCGAGAATCACTTATGGAATCCTCGTAGATAGTGAATGCTTGTGCGAAAAATTCATAGCTGAATTCCTCGAAGCCACACTGGTCAGCCACTTGGCCACAAAGGACGAAGAGGCGAAGAGACAGCTCAGCACATCCGGGATTTACTCGTTGATATAAATTGCTGACGCATTTGTGAATGAATCGGTAGAGTGTGGAGGATTGTGCCTGCCAGTTATCATCATAATGCTCGCGCAGCTTATATTTACGAGCTAGCTTCAAGGAGGAAGTAATTAAAGCAGGGGTAGTGTATCGAATGCGTTCGTTTCCTTCTGAAAAAGCTTTACCTGTCTCTTGCAGGAGCTTTTCGATTGATGGTCAGCACAGATACTACGATACCACATGGGCTAACACTCACCTTGAGCTGAGTGTCATTATCCGGGCCTTGGATGAAGTGGACAAGCCGTGCCAGCCATCCTTGTTCCTCAATTGTCTCTTCCGTCTCTCCTGAGCGCCGTTGTTGCGGAGCACCTGGATAGCCAATAGGCTGTTGCATACCCTCCTTTATTAAAACTCTCAATATCTGTAACACACCGTCCAGGTGTTCCGATGTCGAAATTATTGTCCGGTTTCGTAAAATCCCCCGGGCAATCTCGCCAGCAACAGCTCTTCGTGTGGAGTACGGCTGAGCCGCAAATAGTGGGATATAATTGGGAAGTGAAAGCGCTGTGAAAATGGAAATATATGCACGTATTGGCGCAAGGAGTAGATTTAAGAGATTTGACTGTGCAGCACTGGAATGCAGGTCAGCGGTATCGGCATACTCCAATGTCTTCTTCGTCGCATATTCGAGAACCTGGTCAACGTATTCTATACAAGAGGTTAATGGCGCAACTTGGACAACAAAAGTAGAACAACAACAAAGGCAATCGCATACCTAATCGCGCCGGGTAAATGTTCCTGTCTCTCTCATTAGTTAACGCCATTATCACAGGTTCAAAGCCCAACTTACAGTGCTAGATTCACCAGTGATACCGAGAGAGCTACCGTGTCTTGTATCGGAAGGTTTCTTGTTCTGACTAAGCTCACAACTTGGTCGAAGAATATTTCATAGAGCTTGATAGCGACTGTTAGTTTGGATTTCGATCCAACGTCCTCTTCACCATTGGCAACGGGTGAGAGTTCTTGTTCTCCATTTTCTGTGGCATCTGGTTCCTTGTTGGACTCTGTTGTTGTGTCTTCCTTATCCTCTCCAGAAACTTCCACATTAGCAACAGGTTTTGCTGCTTCATTCTCCTTGGCTAACCGCAATTTTTCCAGCAATCTAGCAGTCGCTTCCTCTTCTGATTGCTTCTTTTTCTCTGGGGTATTGTTATTGTCCGAGTCTCGTGCGGCATAAGAAGATAAACGGTCCATTAAACCTATCACAATTTTCTTCATATCAACATGAGGGTTTAGTCTGGCAATGGCGGAGAGTAGGAGATCAAGAGTATGTAAATGGTATTCGTCTGGGAAGACCTTCGTCATTACTGTAGTATATATCCGGTCAGTAATCGGAACTCTCAATTTTAGCGACGGACGCGTCCTCACCTTCCAGCAGGTACTCCTGCGCCAATACATCACGGCATTGTACAACCTGTTCCAACAGAGGCTGGAGTATTATCGACTTATAAGTTTCCAGATCTACCAATTGGCTCAGTCGCACCAAGTTACTTCCAACCAGGAGCTCCAGCTCTTTCCTCTCCTGTGTCCTGATTTCTCGTTCCCTCGAATGACCCTGGTGTTGTAGCCTCACCCAAAGTTTATTCATCTCCACGAAATTAGTCAGAATGAAACTAATAGAATCTTGTATGTTGCCCTGCGGGCCATCTTCGGTGCCGGTGGGTAGATGATCCTTGGCTTGGCCAGATAGATAATATCGCAGGAATAAACCACGGATTGGATGTTGAACACCTCTGCTCATTTCCATCATATCCTTCATGATTTCCTTGACCGGCGCATCCTCAATGCCCATATAAACAGTTCCGACAGTAATCATAAGATACAGGCGCGGGATGATATTTCCAGCATATTGCACTAGCTCGTACAAATCGGCGAGATGATTGACCGGGTGGTTCTCTTTGAGGTAGACGGATAGATGGCGGAGAGCATCATGAACAGCCATGTACAGTTCGTAGTATTGCTTCGGGCCGAGACTAGGGGTACGGAGTTCGGAAACAAACGTCGACCTGATATTGAGCGATGTCTGTCAGCATGTGAAGCTCTTGGAACTATCTGGTATGGTTCCTTTCTCATTTTGCATTAGTCTACATACCCGCATTTCAACGCATCCATGAGCTTCCCCGGTGTCTCCAGACATCTTCGCATCATATGCGCCTGCTGTCGTACAACCCCGAGGGCATCTTCAAGCAAGCGGCTCTGTTCCTCTGGAACATTGGGCGGGCTCGCCATTGTGGCAGAAGCGGGACCAATCGGTCCGGAGTCTGTCAACTAAGCCCGGGAGTGTAGACCGGGAATAGTTGTAAAGTCCAGTTATGTATTTTGGAATGCGAGCAATAGCAATTGCTCTACAGAGAAACGAAATTCAAAGAGAGTTAATTGTCTTGTAGCAGAGTATCGTTGAGGTCTTTCGTGCTGCCTGGAGTTGGAGATGTTTGCTGGATGTTTGTTCCTGGTTGCTGACAATCCACACTATTCCGGAATGAGGTTCATCATATTTTTATCTTCGGTTGTTTCTGCGGCACAGTACAACATCGACAAATTATTAGGATTTTTAAAGAAATAAATCTAACTACACATTCGATTGCTTTCAGAATTATCAGAACTACCTAGGTGACGATACATATGCCATATGCCATATGACATCCTCCGCTTCCGACAAGACTATACGGTTCTCTGCGATAGTGCTCTCGCACGGGGCTTTGCGCCTATGTAAAAGGCGTATGCATTTGTGACTTCGTCTTATGAAGCGTGGTAACCTTGAAACAGCCTGAATGCATCTCCCATGCGCCGGGGTGTATAAGACATAATAACAATAATAGGCTCTGAGGAAGGAATCAAGGAACATATTGGCTGCCAATATCTCCTTAACACTTCTCTCCAACACTGCCAGTGTTCAACCCCGCGAACCTCATCCTAAACCACCATTTGCTCGCTCACATACCAGCTTGATACCATGGCGATCGATGAGCACCATAAGAGACCAACCGTTCTTTTCTTTGAAGTAAAATTGACGAGTTGAAAGTTACTTTCTGTGCTTTTGGTTCTCTACTGCCTCCACACAATCATCAATTTATGTTATGCTCTATTCAGCACTTGGATTATCCTCTGCGGCTAGTGTTATGCTGGATTTTGCTGCGGAGCGAACCATTCCCGGCTCCAGCTCAGTTATCTTAACCAAGACTGGGGATACGAAACCCATTGACCGCTGTTTGATGGCAGATGATGGCATTTCCAGGTGGACCTGAATACGTTGGTTGAGTGCGTTCTCGGAGGGAGGGAGGGCTCTTGCACTGCCACTGGCCCACTTCCTTTGAATTTCCAAAGCCAACTGGTCGGTACAGGCAGTGGACCTTTGGTCTTCAGGTTGGATGCGCCGAGTGGCAAGTCATTCGTATCTCCTTTTCTGCAGCGCCACCACGTAAACGATTAACCACCCGGCCGAGTATTTCGAAACATTTACCCTATTGGTATCGCACAATAAAGGAAATGCTAGCTATATTAACAGGGGAAAGTAGTGCGAATCCCTCGGATGTTCCAATATCTAAAATCCGGAAGACAAAAATTGTTCCTTATACAGTGATGACGCAGACTGTGGTAGGCACTAACTATAATCTTCTAGTGAAATGATCTAGTATTTGTAAAGATCTCCTTTAATTTCAATCCTAGTTAATGGATGATTACTTTTACATTTAAGCTTCGTCAAATAAAAGAATGAAGAAAACCCCATGATATACATTCCCTAGAAATCTATGCGTTCCTCCCCTTCTTTCAAATTGGAATCATCCAAAGTGGTAGCATGGAAAATGCCTTTCGCACTTTTATTCTCCAGATTTCAAGAAAAAGGCATCATGCGCCGATAAATACCCGCCTTAAACCTATGCATTACAAAGGAAATAAACAAGGGAGGGATAACAAATATATAAATATAGAAATATATATTACTGTCAAAAGCCCGCCACCCAGAGCAACTCACATTGATTTTCAACATCCATCCATTTCATCGGCCGTTAAGTCATCATGCGCATTTGTCCCACTTGCGTCTTAAATTGGAAACCGGCTACTTGGCACTGGTACATGATATGTTCCATTACTCGAGCCTTGTCTCGACAGGGGCAGGTGGGACGGAAGAGGGTAGGGAATTTTGAGCGCTGCGTGCGACGGCTGCGAAAAGCGCCAACCAGTTGGCCGCCTAGGTTGGGGGGCACCGAGTCGCTGGAAAGAGGATGCATATGATGCAGTTAGATATGCATAGGATGCGGTTGGATATGCATAGGATGCGGTTGGATATGCATAGGATGTGGTTGGAGATGCATAGGATGTGGTTGGAGATGCATAGGATGTGGTTGGAGATGCAGATGTCGAAGGGGAAGACGTCGAAGGGTAAGAGGTTATTTGAGGCGGAGAGGCTGGTGGCATAGTCGTCCGTGTGAAGAAGTTTGGCGTTTCACTTGATGTGCTCTGAGTTGATGTTGGTGAAGAAGTCTTAGTTACTGTGACCACGGAGGAGACTGTTTTTGTAACCGGAAAGGGAACTGTGACAAGGAGTCCTGAGGGTGCGGCTGTTGCACTTGTCGTGCCACCACCAACAAGAACGACTGAGTATGACACTTGTCTCGGTTGGATTTGTTGTTGCCCCCTTCGAGATAACGGGAATGAATTTGCTATTGTAGAGAATATCGCCATGAATGATAGTATCGACACGCTGAGTTTCATGGTGAAACCCATTGCAGCCAATTTTCTAGCCAATTTTCTCGGAAAACTAAAGAAATCAGCTAAGATAGACGGCTAAATCGCACTCAACATCGTGGACAAGAGAAATAAAACGGAGATTGCAAAATCTGCCGCAATAAAAGCTCCAAATTCATTTTGCCCCATCGCTAAATTGCAGAGGCTGGGCTGTTGTTATTATCAGTCCCGTACAGAGTAGATGGTAGTGAGATGGCTGGGAACCCAGCCATCGATTATTTCGTATTTCGTTCATTAGTTCACAGTCACATGAAATAGACATGGCGCAATAGTTAGAGATACGGAGTACAGTTCATTCCAATTATCATAAAGAATGGAATTAGAATCCAGTTTCCCAGGGAATTTGGCAACTGTATGATGTGGAAAAATAAAATGGTGTTGACACGAGCGCGGTTGTGATAAGCGTTGGAGGTGGGGATCGGTGCCAAGACGCCGTTGCCAAGCACAACACGTCCAAGACGCCGGCGCAACACGACGCAGATCATCAGTGTTCAGCCACTGGGGCAACAGAGCTTGATCACCACCACCAGCGCCATGCTGGTAGCCGAGGGGACGAACCAATCCAAACCCCCAACATATAGCGCGTACTCGAGAGTAATCGCGATTTGTATGATAGAATATTCCGTGCGCAGTAGTATAGATATATGGAGAGTCCGTCGAACCCAAACGATCGACTAAATAAAGATACGAAGTCTCCGATCTCTCCGCCCCATGAGTGTAAATTGAACTAGTACTACTCCGTACTACTTGTGTGGTCATAACTAGTATGAGTAGATTACATAGAATTTTATTTACAAGTAACCACCTACCCATTAACTATCCCATATAAAATTGAAGAAATTTCCATTTCTCTGAAAACTTGATAGCACATTGTGATTCTTCTTATTGCTTTGCCATCTATTTCGAGAATGGCTGTGGGGAGGTAAATCATTTAACATCTTCAATTTGGGATGGAGAAAGGAGGTCGTTGCGGGGAATGGTTCTCGACGTGGTGGACTACAGCGTAAGTACTTCGTAAAGATGTGGAGAAAAGTCATCAGCCTCCACCTCGAATAACGTCCTTCATCGAAGGGCTAAGTCCTCAACGCGGAGCAAACCACAACCCAGCCCAGCACATGCCCAGCCCGCACATGCTTTATTCGGGTTCCAACTAAGCGCAGTAACCGCAGTCTTCTCTTCAAAAGTCGCAATCGCAAGGTTCCCGTCACCCATCCTCCTATCCCCTGTCAGCTTTCTCACTAGTGTAGGTATTTCTGCCTTAAACCCGTCGTAAAATTTGCTAACTCCGGGTCCCACGACACCTTCTTTCTGTTCAACGCTAACTTCTTCGTGCTTATTTGGAATCCATTGGTGGCTAAACCATGTCTGTTGCCAGGCCTTTTCTTTGGGACTCATCAGCCTGCGAAGTGGATTCGTGGCCACGACATTGCCGCTTACATTACCGGCCAAAAAGCATGGGTGGCATAAAGTCGCTGGGGTAATGGCAGATACTAGATCGTACGTTTGTAATATGGAGGATGTAGAGAAAAACCGTCGGAGTGGCTGGATGCGGATAAATTCAGTGTCATCGGGGCAAATATACGTTCGCAAGAAGGGTGAATATGATACTTCATATGATCCCAACCGTGAACGTGAAGTCTCTGATACATCTGCTCGCGGATCCAGGAGGGAAAAGAGCTTCGTTTTACCATCCATTCCAGTGGTGACAAGTATATGTGGATGTGTTGGATACGATGACGTTATATTGAGAATATAGGAAGTATGAATTGGAAAATATATGTATGGTGCAGGATTTGACACTGATTCGTTGGCATCAGATGGCGATGAGAGACTCCAAACTCCAACAAACCCACTGGCGGTGCCAACAGCGAGGTCGCTCGGTGACAGCCAACAAAAGCAGGTGCAAAGTGTCGATGGTAGTTTGGCTTCAAAAGCAGGAACGTGAACCTGGACTGTAACAGAATGGTTAGCCTTTGAATATCCGTATAGGAGAATGACTTTTGCGAACCATATTCCGTTTCGCTGGTCAACTTCTTTAATTGCACGTCCAAAACTTTTATGCTCCCATCTCCCCATGCACCAGCCAAAATACCGATATTGAGCCGCTCAACAGTATCATCTCCTTCTCGCTTATCCCGGCCCATTGGACACCAGGATAGGCGTCTGATATCGCCAGCATCGGTGCATATTACTTGCCGTAGGCGCGGTTTGACAGCCATATCAAGTTGTTGGACATCGTTATTTTCTTTCGTAGATTCAAAGGACCAAATCTGTATTGCAGATGGATATGGCGGGGAAGGCATAAAAGCCGGAGGTCCTTGAGGCACAAGGTCCAACGATTGTTTCTGCAAACCCAATATTGGGACAGCCACCGCAAGATATTGCGAACCACTCGTGCAGTTTGGTGCCCAAGATACACATTGAATCTTGTTACCCAAATTCAAAATCCACCCTTGGCGAGTTCTTCGCGACTGGGTTGCAGAACCACTCGGTATCCCCGACGCGAGTTCACTTTCAGGTGATAGAGGCTCTTCAGCCCCCACCACCTCGGGGGTTTGCTTACCGAGGTTTTTCGGACGCCCTGGCCTTTCGCCTTTTGGCCTGATTTCACTCCATGACTGCCCAAAGTCCAGCGATTGGCCCACATCCAGCTCATAGACTTTCTGAGATGATGCAGGTCCTATTATCACAGTGTGCTTTTTCGTCCCCGGTCGGGGTATATATCGTTTTCCTTCCACAGCTGTGATGCCCACTGTTTGTTGTCTTTTGCGAAACCGGTCACTGGCATTTTCATCATAATACCAATCCCAGCCAGAGGTCGCCTCCTTTCGCAACATATCACCGCTCACGCCAAAAGCGGCTCCGATTTCATCAATAGTCATGCTGAACGCTTCCCGTAATGTATCACTACTGGGAAATGTCACATCCCTACGTTTTGTCCATCTAACCCTTGTATATACCATGGGCAACAGATCCTCATCGCTAGAACCGAACGTTAATTTCAGATAGGTCACTTTAGCGCCATGGGCTGATGACTTGTAAAGACCTCTTGAATGCGTAGCCATAGGATCCTGTTCATCGACGCGTCCAACTGGCCTTGATCGGGCCTTTCGTGCCTTGTCTGTTTCTTCCAAATCCGACCCCAAAGCAGAAACTATATCATCTTCTTCCACCATGCCTATTCATAAGTAAATATTGATTCCCCCGATCAATCGATTAGTAGCACAGATCTTACGTTCAGCATCATTGTCTTGTTCTTCATATGCTTCATCGTCCCTACGTCGAGTCCCCCTGCGAACCCTCCTCTTTGCACCCCGGCGTCCTGTAGCCACGACATTTGATATTTCGGTTTCTTCTTCCTCGTCGCTGGTTAATTGCTCGGGTTCTGAAGATCCGACCTCAAGCCCAGTAACTGCAAAGACGTCAGTGGTGTATTCTGGAACCGCAGTCCGTCGGCGAGTGGACCTCCTTATTGGCGAGGAAGCCATCAGACAGGCTAGGAGCAGATAAGCGTTGCAGCTGACATTTATTGTTGAAAGAACTGTAATTAAAATAATCGTCAGTCTCCCTCATATCACTAAATTTACATCATTTCTGGGAACGTCCAACTAATCACTATCGTCGAATTGGTAGGGGGGAGTGGTGCATGATTTTCCCTCCGAAATGTTGTCGAAGCTCATAATGAGCCGAAAAACGCCAGTCAGCAAGACCAAACAACATCCATGGATCCCAGTCTCGTAGCCCCTCAGCCCCTCCAACCCCTGATCAATCAAGCATTGCATGCATGCATGACCTTTCCAAGAATTCTTATATCTAGTCGTTCAACATCCCGCAGAGTAGAAGAATTTAGGTAGACAATGAGCAGCGTAATGAATGTCCTTCGTTTTTGGTTCTTTTAGGTGTTACGATTATTTTATTTCAAAATTACCGACACTCTCTCCACCATGTTCAGTCAATTCAAAGGAAGCTTTCAGCCGGGCATCCTTCATAAATATGTATGAAAGACCTTACCCCCTCAAGTGAACACCATTGTTTATGAAGGACAATATGTAAGCTGACTATAGTATAAAACGCTATTAGGCACCACAACTTACGGCTTTTGAGTATGCAGCCGACCCAAATGCTAGAGGCTGCGAAACTAATAGCAAACCCCATAGTTTGCTATTTATCGGCGGGTTGGGTGACGGTTACTCCACCGTGCCATATCTCAACGATATCACCACAGCTCTCGAAGCTGAGAAATGGTCTGTGTTCTCAGTAGAACTCACCTCATCATACAAGGGATGGGGTTTGAGCAATCTAGACAGTGACGTTGACGAGATTGGCAAATGTGTCGAGTACGTGAAGGGGTACAAATCCGCCAGTGAGCAAGAACCTGGCAAGATTGTGATCATGGGCCATTCTACTGGAAGCCAGGATGTGCTTCATTACCTCTATTCCCAAAATCCAGGGCCGGAAGCTACGACTCCAAGACCCCCAGTGGACGGAGCTATTATGCAAGCTCCTGTTTCTGATCGAGAAGCCATACTCAATATCGTAAAATCGGGAAATGATCAAGACACCCCGGCGGAGCTGACTCAAATATATAACAATCTCATCTCCATGGCGAAGAGCGAAAAGACCCTTGGGGGGAAGGATGTCATCTTGCCAATTTGGATGGTAGGGAAGGTATACATACCTGACACTGCCGTCTCTGCTACAAGATTCCTTAGTTTGGCAAGTCCAGATAGCCCGGAAGCTCCAGGGGAAGATGATCTGTTTAGCTCTGATCTTACAGATGCTAGACTTCAAGAGACGTTTGGTATGATTTCGTCTAAGGGCCTGTTGAAGAAGTCACTTCTTGTTATTCCGGGCGGCGATGATGAATATGTGGCTCCGTGGATTGATAAGGAAAAGCTATTGGAAAGATGGAAGGCCGCAACGACGAAAAACTCGAAAAATCCACACATCTGGTCCACAGATAGTGCCATAATTGTTGGAGCTAAGCATTCGCCGAGCGGGCCTGATCAAGCTCAACCGCGCAAGGATTTGGTTTCAAGGGTTAAAGCTTTTTTGGCCGATATTGAGAGACAGAACTGATATTTTCTAAGATGAATATCTGCACCACTAGAGAAGCTGTGAAAGTTGATCTTTCCAGAGTGTTAGGGCCAATAAATTACCGCAGGAATCCACTTAGATTCATGTAGTTCTTTCATGGCATATTGAATAGTGCCTCAACCATGGTTTTTAAAGCAGAAAAAAAAAAATTGTATTCTAAGCAACGGGATAATATATATAACAGTGGAATTATGTGAAGGGTATGAGCAATCACTACAATATGTTGGAGACATTCAACCTGGACCTAAACCCATTTGCGCCCCTAAGTCTTAACAAGAAAGGCCCATCATCAGTTTCCTACTATCTGCTGCGTGGATATACAAAAGAGGCGTTATTGCCTCGACCCTGCGTCAACCGGGAAAGGCAAAAGAAAGAGCAAGGATCAAATGCAAGAAGCTGATTAGACCTTCAGCCAAAGTGTGAGGACCCCCTTTAAGTATTCTACGATCTCGTCCCCTCCAAGCTTGCTCTCGCCATAAAGACGATCAACAAATGTGATGGGGCATTCCTCGACCTTGAACCCCATGGCCTTAGCACGAACCATCATTTCCATTTGGAAAGTATACCCTTTGCTCTCCGTGCTTTTAATAACCTTCTCAAGAACGGGCTTCTTATATAATCGGAAACTTCCAGTCAGATCGCTGACACCGGGCATCAACATCACGTCCGCAATCAAGTTGGCTCCGCGAGAGGTGAGCTTGCGGACCAGATCCCAGCCATACACTCCACCACGCAGATTCCCACGAGATGCATATCTAGTCCCTGTAACAATGTCGCAGTTCGTTTCCTTCTGTATTTTGATCATTTCGGGGATAAATTTAGGGTGGTGGCTAAAATCGGCGTCCATGATGATGACGAAGTTACCTGAGACCGATTTCAAGCCATGGACATATGCGGTTCCGAGACCTAGCTTCCCTTCACGGGGCCTCAGAACGATGTGCTCCGGTCCCCAAAGTGATTGAAGCTGTTTTGCGACTTCTAATGTTCCATCTGGAGATCCATCATCGACTATGATCACCTCCCAATCTAGTTTACTAAAAGAAGGATAAAAGACAAAATTAGCTTCACACCGAGAAATTGCTAAGCACATAGGAGATTCCTACTTCTCTCTAAATGTCCTCTCAATCAGCCAGCAGATTATGGGTAGGTTCTTGCGTTCATTGTAGGTAGGGAGAATGACGGAGTATTTGTTGTTCTGTGAAGACATGGTGGTGTTTCGTCGACGAGAGCAAGGGGTATCGTAAAATTGGGAGACCAAATTCTGGTCCACGACTTGGAGGGTTGGACGGTACCGAGGGCCACGGGTGGGCATGCGGAACTCTGCTGTCTAATGGCTAAAGAGCAATGGAGACATCTAGAAAAGAGCAATAGGAACTTGGTGATGGCTAGTAAAAAGACATGGGTGATGCTGATTCCGTTTTAGGGTAAGGGCGGGCTGCTTGGTCCATCCCCTTTGAGCTTATTGTGGCGGATGTAGTTAAAGCTTGTGAAAACAAAATATTGCCAAGACTGAGGAACATATGAAATTTAAAGGCCTGATTTAAAATATAAATTCTTTGAAAGGGTAATATTTCTTCATTATATTTTTAATTAAAATAATACAGAATTGAGGAACTTATTTTAGAAATATAGGACTTTTTAATCTCCTGATGTGGCAATCTGGCCTTCAAATTTTGTAATTTTGTATGTTCGTCTAGTCTTGGTAATATTATCAACGTGGTTCACCGCCTGGCAGAATTCTGAACTTCTCAACCTCTCATTTTCCTCATTCCCCGTTTAGAGTTATTGTGTATTGGGAAGCAATTACCCAGCAGCAAGTTGTAAGCTCGCAGCGCAATGGACAGCCCAGGGGCTAAACATCGCAGTGCTCCAGTCAAGGGTACAGTACACAATATCCTGTCATCACCCTACATTATCAAGGGATATATTGCTGAGAGAAATGAATGCTCCATAGCTACCCGGCCACGGAGCTCCACCAAAGGGCCCCTAGATGTTCCAGATGAGTACGATCCAATCTGCTCCGTACTTCCACTCCATCTTCCAAGAACACCAGGCTAAGAAAAAGATGAACCAAGCTCTACTACAGCTGCTACCGTATCTCCGAACCAACCGAATTCCTTCAATCTTCCAAGTCGCTCAAGGGCATCTCCGAATTCCCCGCATCGTTCACTATCCACGTTTTCAACTATAGATACCATATCAGTTCCTGTGGATATCAACCTATCATACCTCCTGCGTCCCGACATTTACCATCCCCTCTCGCTATTGGATATATCACCGGCTTTCCGTTCGGATATCCCTACGCCTGCTCCGAATGAACCTTTATCTACTTCCCTAGCTACCCTTGATAATCTCTTGAATACTGGCCACTTCCTTCTTGCAGCTCATTTCTCAGCAGCGATTCTGTCATCACCCGTGGTGGCCCACAACGACCACCATACGATATTTTCTCTCTTGTACATCCGACTTGCATGCTTAGAGCTGACCGGAAATACCCTTCTAGCAGCGCAGGAAGCGAAAGCGCTGGAGGATCTAAGTTCTGCGTTTTACATTGTCGATACCAAGCCGGAAAACGAGATGACAGCCAATGACACTGTTCCAGATGATCAAACTCGACATATTGTACCATGGCCTCTTCGTGTTCTTGCAGCGAGGTTACAAAGTATTGGATTCGGCGACTCAAGACGAGGTATTGCTGCCTTATACGAGCTTGGATTAGAAGCTAGAAAATATCTATCGCGCCAAGTACTTGCGGGGGATGAAAGGGATATTTGGAAAACTAGGTTGGCAGATTTGGGGATCAGAGTTGTGAATTCGTTAATAGAAATGAACGACTTAGACGCTGCGCGAAGGTCACTCGCAAACTTAAAAGCCCCACCCAAGGAGCAAGCTTTAACGACCACACGGATGGTGCTGTTATATCTCAAAGTTGGGGATGTTGAAACTGCTCGAAAACTTCTAGATAATACTCCAATCGAAGCGGATGGGGCTTTGCACTGTCTGTTAGATATGGCGGAAGGTCGATATGAGGAGGCAGCTGCGGGGTGGGAGGCCCTTCGCGCAAGCCACATTGGACATGAGGATGCAGCTCTGATCATACAAAATCTCGCTGTGTGCTTATTATATACAGGAAAGCTAAATGAGGTAAGTTAGTCTTTGACTCTATGATTAGGGGTGATGACAGAACCTGATTTTATTACATCTCTATATAGTCCCGCGACCTCCTTGAATCGTTGGTAAACAACAATTATTCTTTTCAAAGTCTCACGTTCAATCTGGCAACGATATATGAACTATGTTCTGAAAAGTCTAGGCTTCTCAAATCCAACTTGACTGAAAGGATAGCCCAGCAGCCGCCGTCAAGATATCGGAATTGGGAAAAGCCGAATACGGACTTCAAGATATAAAAACGCCTTTTGCCGTAGAGAATAATTCCTTATTTGCCAATTATGTTACAGTGTCAGGATATTCTGCTCACAAAAATCTACGCTTGTTGTACCATCATATATAAATACAATTCAATACCTACCTTAACACCGAAACTCCGCGCTTATGCGTCTAAAGGAAAGGCTTTCACAGACGGCAACTTGGCTGCAGATGACAGGTGCATTACCTTCCCGATCATGCCCGCGGCAGCCCAAATGTATATATCGTCAAAACAAAGTCCATTCTCATGGACTGTTACTTTTTGGATTCAACATTTGGCTTCCTAGCCCTTATCAGAACTTTATCACCCTCTCTCTTCCATCCCAAACCCTCCTTTTCCACCAGCGCTTCCCATGTCCAACCTTCATTTTCGCCGGCGCAGCATTCCACCAAATAATTCACGTCCACCGACAGATATGCTCTCCCGACTGCCTTTAACGCTCGCCTGCGCACACTGTCTACCACCCAATTCAACAACGCTTTTGTATAGGCATTCTGGTTCCGTTTAGTTCTCCAAAATAACACCCAGTCGTCATGCATTATTCCTCTAAGAATACAGTCGACAGAATTATTACGATACCCGAATACTGCCTTTGCACGTGCCCGGAGCTGATATGCAGCCGACATATCGTCTTGTCGACAGGCATAGTCCAGGATCAAGTACGTCGTAAACTCGTGCAGCTCAGAGGGGTCCAGTGGATTGGTAGACGAGTGAAGGTGTTTCAGCAGGCGCTGCAACGGGGGGTAGTATGACGGTGGGTGCTGAGCCAGGATTGATACGCGTATGCAGAATATGTGGACGCGCTGGGAGAATGCGATGGGCGTTTTGGAGCTCGTTGCTAGAACGGCTTCCCGCAGTTTACGGAGCGAAAGAAGGAGAATAGAAAGTTCTTCAGCTGGTGTTGGATGCTGCTCTGATGGAACTGTGCTTTTGGTCGCCGCTGTTGGGGCAGCGGGTTTGATGGGTGGTTTTGGTGATCGGGACCGAGATCTAGCTCTAGATGCTGGCCTTATAGGTATAGGAACTGGAGGGTTCTTGGTTGGGTCTTCAGAGCGGTTTCTTGGAAGGGAGCTGAACGCGGCATCAAGGTTCCCGGAGTGGACATTGCAAAAGTGCACATATCTGTCCACAATCTTCTTATAGTACTGTTCTTGGGCCTTGGGATCTAGGAGTCTGCATAATACGTGAGTTGGTCAATGCTGGCCATGAAAGGGAAAAACTATATTCCCCCGCCCTTGAGCATTTTGTACACAAAACCTACTTCGTATCTCCCTTTGACGTAAACCCAACCTGGCTAAGCGAATCTGCGGCCGTCTTATTTCCTCTGGGAGTAGGCTTTGATGGCCGCAACGTATCCTCCATTAGGAATTTCAGAAAGCAACCTCTGTTTGACTTGTAGTGAAGCACGATTCGGTCATGGTTCCGCCATCTAGCCTCCAGCCTCTGGTTTCGCGATGCCTGTTTGTGTCTGGAATTTCTTCGCGAAGGGAAGCTTCGAACCTAAGCCCCTCCTCCAAGTCCCTCGTGTTTGTCCTGTTTGCATACGGTTCAAGTTCTCAACAACTCAAACAAACATCCTAGATTCATGGCAGCGGGCAATGTTTGTGTCTAAAAGGAGGAAGTCAAACGCCAGCTCGCAAGAGAACCACAGGCATCATTCCCGCGTGACAATTGACAAGTTTGTTACGGAGAAAGCAACGGACACAGCCGCAAAGATAGCATACAAGGCACGCCGGACGATTCATTGGGATGACTTGGAACATTGGCAACGGGATAACCACCTCATCCACACGGGATATCGGCCAGCATCCCGGTCTTTCATGGTGTCATTTCATTCATTGGGATATGTGCATAACGAAACCGTGAATATCTACACCCACCTGCTGCCAGCCATATCATCAGTACCATTTGCCTTTTACCTATACAAAGCCATTTCCGCACGATATGATAGCGCTACGCATGGTGACGTGCTCGTGTTTAGCTGCTTCTTTGCCGGGACCGCTTTCTGTCTTGGTATGAGTTCCATTTACCACACGATATCCAACCATTCTCCCGCAGTCGCGCGAATTGGAAACGCGATGGACTACATTGGCATCGTCGGCTTGATCACAGGCAGTTTTATCCCAAGCGTATATTATGGCTTCTACTGCATGTCCAGATTCAAGAAAATATATTGGACAATGATATTGCTGATCGGGGCTGGGTGCACTGTCATCTCGATCATGCCACGCTTTAGAACTCCTCCCTGGCGGCCGTTCCGTGCTGGCATGTATGTTTCCATGGGACTCTCCGCCGTCTTCCCGGTGCTACATGGTGTATCGATCTTTGGGGTGGAACTGATGTTGAAGCAAATCGGTCTATTCTGGCTCGTGTTGCAGGGCGCTTTGTATATAATCGGAGCGGCTGTATATGCTGCGCGAGTGCCCGAGCGATGGTATCCTGGCGGGTTTGATGTCCTAGGCAGCTCTCATCAGATATTCCACGTCCTTGTTGTTTTGGCAGCGATCTCACATTTGACCGGCCTTCTGCAAGCGTTTGACTATCGGCATAGCGGTTTAGCGTTATCATGTTTATAATTTTTTTGAGAAAAGCAGCTCATAATATACTAGTTATGTGTTTTATACCAAATTTTTCTGGGGCGCCTTGATATAGCCGAATTTAAGTTTCAACCAGGAACCCAGAACCTGATGCTAACCGTCGGCAAAATTCCGTGATTTCAACTCCAATTCCCATACTCCTCGTAACCGGAACCGAGCACTCTCTAATCGTGCTTTGTATATGCCTCTCCGGTCGTTTGCCAGTGTCGGAAGCGGAAATTGGCTGTTCCTCGGCTGCCAGCACTTCCAGGCTAATTGTAATCCCCCGCTGAACACAGGCCTACATAACTAACAAATTGCCGGTTAACTTTGCCTATTCTTTTGGTACCTGCAATAGTATTTACTGTTTCTCTTTTTCGGTTGTTTTTAAGACATTGATTGTTATTCTCTTCTGAGTATTGCCTTTAGGGCACACATCCATGGGCTATCTTCCCTAACCAAGTCCACCCAGCTTACAATGGCCCCTCAAGACCGTATTGCACAGGTGTCCTCCCATCTTAATTACCCACAGGGTCTGCTTGCTGGCCAAATTGCCATTATCACTGGCGCTGGTCAGGGTGTTGGTGCTGAAGCTGCCCGCCTGTTTGCCAACGAGGGAGCGAAAGTGGTTGTTGCAGATCTTGATGCCAGTTAGTAGAAATCCTCCACACGCCGCGTCCTAATGTTTGCATGAAATTTCCGAGTAAAGAGCTTTTTCTGGGTTTTTTTAGAGAAAACAGAAGCTGATTCCGTCTACAACTGCACACAGAGAAAGCAGAGGCTGTTGTGAAATCGATCAACGATGCCTCGCCTGGACGAGCCATTGCCGTAGTTGGCGATGTGACGGACCCCACATATGTGAAAAGGGTCGTGCAAAAAGCTGCCGAATTTGGCAACGGGAAGATTCATATTATTGTTAATAACGCTGGGTATACGTGGGATGGCGTTATTCATAAAGTTCGTGGTATATATATACATAGATAGATACGGCCCCCTTACAGGGATACGTATGACCTCGGCTGACTTACAGTACTAGCTCTCGGATAAGCAATGGGAGGCCATGATAGCTGTCCACGCCACTGCACCCTTCAAACTGGTCCAAGCCGCGGCTCCATACTTCAGAGTAAAAGACGGTGCTGACAGAGTCATCGTGAACATCAGCAGTACCAGTGGCATCCACGGAAACCCGTAGGTCTTAACCTTTCCCCGGCCCAGCCAATTTTCTTCCTTTTCCTCGACCGCCATAACTAAAAATAACACAACAGGGGCCAAGTTAACTACGCCGTCGGCAAGGCTGGTATGGTCGGCCTCACCAAAACAATCGCGAAGGAATGGGGTCCCCAATTCGGTGTCCGCGCCAACACGATTGCTTTTGGCTTGGTGCTAACACGGCTGACTGCGGCCAAGGAGGCTGGCGCCTTTATCACAACGCCTGATGGTGAAAAGGTCGTTCTCGGTATACCTTCAGCCCAGTTGGCGGCGAGGGCTGGAAGCGATGAGAAGGATAAGTATCCTGATATCCCGTTGAGAAGAGTGGCAACTCCCACGGAAGCAGCGAGGTCGATTTTGGCAGTTGTGAGCCCCCTGCTGAGCTATGTTAACGGGCAAACTATCATGGTTACAGGAGGGCGGAATATGTAAGTTGGGGTTGGGGGAGGTAGTGATGATGAGTGGCTTCGTCTTTACCATTGTCTTTAGTCTATTTTTTTTTTTTTAAAAAAAAAAAAAAAAAAAAAAATTATTTTCTTTATTCATTGGGAAATGGTATGGTACTTAGACGCGCATGCAGATTTTCATTCAAGACCAATGGTGTGTGGTCGTTACTGCTTAAATTATCCTGCCGTCATCTGAGTCTGAGTCGAGAGCAAGGCCTACAAATCACTGTGGATCCCGTTGGAGATTCTGTCTAATTGCATGAGCGTGTACTCTGTGTGCATGTGCGATATGTACACAGTCGTGCCACGTATCGGAGCATGAACGTGCACCACTTCGAACGGTATCTTATCAGACCGCCGTGAACAGAAACAGCTGGAGCAATCCATGCAATTGCAGGATGAATTATGAGACTTCTGTGAGTGGATAGGCATAGAAAAGCCCCTATTCATTGACGATAAGCTTTGCTGGTTACAATGCAGTGTTTATTCCGAGATACTTGCGGGTAGCGGCGCTGTTGCGCATGAATACATGGAATCTATCAAATTATTGATGAGATATATAAAGCCAAGTATATCCATGTAATAAGCTGTCCAGACGTGTATGTATATATTGTAAATAGGGAAAATAGCCCTCTGGTTGTAAAGTGTAATATCGAAAGATAAAAGAAGAATCGAGTTGGGTATCAGGGTGACAAGACGAGTACAGGAGCAAGCAAGATATGAAATGGAGAATATCGGACAAAAGTGAGAATATAAAAAAGGCAAATTGCTGGCCACCTCGGGTTCGAACAAGAAACACCAAACGCCGTAAATATATGCCAAAAGATAGGAGCCACCAAAGCGAAGAACGAAAAACGAAGATAAAAAATAAAAAATAAAACTCCTCTATATAGCCATGCCAGTAGAACATAAAACTCCTGAAGGATGTCCTGTCTGTATTTTCGTTTTGTTGCGGTGCGCGAATCCAACGCCAAAATAGAGTATTTCGCTTCCCGGTAGACAAGACAACATCTCACCAAACTTTGTACAGCTCTGCTATGCGCAAACAAGCGAAGGATATGTTATTACAGGGCGTAGAAGAAAAATTGCTTCCAAGGAGTAAACAATCGAAGGACAAATCCGGGCAACAAAGACTTGAGGGGAAAAAAAAGAGCGAAACATGTAGACGGATGCAAAGTAAGTAAAAAATAGAAACAGTTTCCAAGAGAAGGTACTCCAAGAGGGATTCCAATTCGGATAATAATTGACATTCCACGGAAAATAGAGGAAATCCGCATGTCCATCAGGTGTCCAGTGGATAAAATCCCGTAACAGTTGTCGGTTCCTGCGGCATACGAAACGTAGTAGGGTATAAAATTCCCAAGGGTTGTTCCAAAAGGTACGAAATCCTGCACTTGTGGGGATTTTTCGTCGTTGCATGAGATTCGTTCCGTTATCTTGTATTAAAAATTTTAAATAAGTTGTAATTGTCCAAAGCGAATGGAATGAAAAAAAAAAAAAAATAGTCAAGATGTAGTAGATCCTGCCTCAATATACGGCAATGACGGGTTCCACAGGATGTTGTCGTGCAAGATTCTTCTCAGCAATGTCGCTGAAAGGAATGAAAGATCCCCAGAAGTTGGGAACCATTGGAGGCACATATCTGAATTGGCTTGGTGCTTGGCTGTAAGGTGCATACTCAGATGAAGACGATGAAGATGACGATATGGAGGAGCCGTCGTCGTCGTCGTCGGAGAGAGAAGTATCAGAAACAGCTGACATTGAATATTGGGTTTCGACAGGCTCTGCTGGAAGAGAGACCGGATAAGGAACAAAATTGGCAGGACTATAGGAATCCTTTTGGTATTGATAACTCTGGCAAGGTGGTGTTGGTGCCATGGACAAAGGAGATCCAGACCGAAGAGTGAATCTTGGACACTCAACAATCAATTTGCGCAGCTCCGATATTGAAATTCGTTTTTGGGGATCGCATTCAAAAATACGCCTTAGAATAGAGTTGAGTTCGGGTGACAGAGGTAAAATTGTCCTCAGAAATTGTGGGTCCTTAAGAAAGGCACGGAAAGTAGAATCTTCGGTTGAAGCTCTTTTCCAAGGATTCCGCCCACAAGATAAATTAACCAAGATGACTCCAAGGCTCCATACGTCATTGGGTGCAGAAGCATATGGCCGTGGAGTAGATTGCTGGCATTCTGCGTCACCGTCAGATCAAGTGCAAGATAGAAAGTAGTGTTCGTATCGAGATAAGGGAAAATATCAAAAAGTAATGAGTGCTAAAAATTACCTGGTGACATATAGAACGTTGAACCACATCCGAAGTCCGATGTATAGTAATCGGTTGTAGCAAGGCCGAAGTCGGCCAGCTTTACCGTCATTCCATGATCTGTGACCAAAATATTCTCTGGTTTAAGGTCCCGGTGGTAGATTCCAATGGAGTGACAGTACTGCACAGCATCCAAAATCTGGAGAAAAGCACGTTTGGCAAGGAAATCGTTTCCAACAAACTGGCCTTTGTCAGTAATGTTGGAGAAAAGATCGCCCTCCGGGCAAAACTCAATAACAACAAAAGTACAATCAAGAGAATCCATTATGCGGACCAAAGAAACCACATTGGGATGTTGACTGGCCAAATGATGGAGCTTGATTTCCCGCTGCTGAAATTTCCGTTGTCTAGGGTCCAGACCTGCTTTGTTGAGGGCTTTAACCGCGTACGGCACATGGGTATGGATGTCGATAGCGGAATACACAACACCATACGCACCTACCCCAAGAACGCTTGTAAGTTCTAGCCGGTTGGCGAGTAGCAAACCGAGCCTATCCTCTGGGACATCGCATATTGTAACGGGCGGAGGCGATTGTGGTGGTGTAGGTAACATTGTGGGGTACATTTATACCTCCCGAAGTTGGGGTTTTAAGGTGTGCAGCAAACAACAAACGGTATTGCAACGTCAATTTCCCAGGACAAGTCAAATCCGGAGTCCAAAGGGTAATTGGGGATCCTGATCCTTAATATATAGTATGAAACGAAATCGCCCGTAGTCCAAAAGATATTTCAAAGGAATGATTCGGGCAATGTTGCCCAGCTAAAAAATATGCGCAACCAAAACAACGAGGATGAAAGGGAGTTTTCGAGGAGGAAGAGGACGAGGATAATTAAATGGAGAGAGAGGTTGTAAGTAATATGAAGTCGAAGATTAAGTAGAAGAAAGGAAGGAGAGCGAAGGCTGGTGATATGGAAGAAGGGGACGGGAAAAAAGGAGCGAACTTTGAGGATAAGTAAAATGTTGATAACGATCGAAGCTTCGTTGACGATGGAAGGCGACAACGGTGGTATGATGCGAGTTCAAGCTTCGCATCCGGTTTAGCCTGGGCCCATCACGATTCAAAGATAATTCAACCATATCCACAATGACACGGCCCATGCACTTAAAACTC